TACACTAAATATTTAACCATCAATAATAGTAAAGAAGAAAAAAAACTTCTTATTTCCAAATGTAAAATAAATTTAATAATAAATTAAATATTTGCATTATAAAGATAAATGTTTAAATAAAATATTTAGTTGTTTATTACTTACTGCAAATTATTTGAATAAAAATTTGCCTGACTCTGATCGCCATACTCTGCATCCGTGAGTATGTTTAAATAAGGGAAAAAATAGGGAAATAGGGAAAAAATCAAACGACGATAAACGAACAGTAACCATTGCCTTCCACACTAACCACTCCACTTTAACCTGTATGAGGTCGTATGTTTATGTTAAGTGCTCTGACACTTTCAGGTTCTGGGCTCTTTCACCCATTTTCAGGCCATGATATGCTTTTAGAATTGTCGATTGAGCAATTTTTCAACTGGTTTTGTAGATTAAAACTAATTAAGTTAGGTTAGATTACAGCAATTTTCATCTGATTTTGTACATTAAGATTGGTTATCAGTGATTTCATATTTTGTAAAAATTGGAATTCTTGCAGTACTTCAATTGGAAAATTAATAAAACTCTGTCAGAGTCTGCATTTGGCCTTGGTGTTCGCATAGGCGCACTGTTTATTTAACTTTATGCATTCCCATATACAATGCATGATTAGAACAAAAGGTTTTCATCCCTAGATAGCACACAGACGTCTTGTGAACGTCTTAAAGACGTCGAGTAAAAGCCTAAACATGTGCAAAAGACATCTCGAAATGTTTTAAAAACATCTTAAAGATATAAGTTTTATACGTCGTTAGAACGTACGGATTCGCACGTCTTCCAGACATCCGGATCAGGTTGTAAGACGTTCAGACCAAAAATGGATATTTCTAGAACGTCATGTGCTATTTGGGTTTATACACCATTGAGGCTTTGAGCACTGATTGAAAAAGCATCAGGGATGGTACAATATGTACAGGATATCCCATTTGATCTAAGTATCTCACCTCGCCATTTAGGAAGCAGTAGAGTATTGCAATGAAGAGACCTTGAAAGGATTGCAGGAAGTGAGTGGAGTAGGACCATAATGCAAACTTTTTCACGTTGTGCAAAGGTGCCTCAATCATGAAGAGCACGTTTGTGATGCCTAGAAGGGGTAGAAGCACTACAGCCGCCCTCACAGCTTTTCTGTGGCAAAAGAAAATGCATAGGTTAGGTTAATAAATGGATAGAAATTGGAAAATGACATGTTTCTCATTTTTTATTAAAAGAATTGAAGTGTAATGTCAACTTGTTTGTATATTATTCGCTGTTATGATTCTCAATAAGGTAAACTTGGTAAACTGTTATGTCTTACTGTTTCCTGCAGCTTCTGCTGCTTGCACAGTAATTGTATTGAGTTATTCTATTGTCTCTTTACTTACAGGACTTGCTCGATCTCGCTAGTGTGGCTTTGCCGCAGCTTCACCACGAGCACTCTGACGATGTTCAACAGGAACAGAAAATTGAGCTGAAGGATTAAAGTCAGTACAGATTTTATGTGATATTTTTCCAAAAGACACTTTTTTCTTTTCAAAAGTACAAATTTTGTTTAAAAATTAGTATTGCTCACCAATATCACTGCAAATCTGGGTCCCTCTAGGATCCAAAAATAGGAAGACAGGTTGTATCCAGACCAACATCTAGAAAACCTAACATAAACACCATAATCAAACTTATAACATACTTTCTCTGTAAGAGTTCTTGACAAATTAATAAAAGAGTGAGATTGAAGCACCAGGTGCAACAATAATTTACTGCAATTGATCTTGGAGAAGTATTGATCACTTAAAAACTCTATTTAGATAACAAATTAGTTTCCATACCCTCCCATAAAATCTTCAAACTTATCTCAAAGGGAAAATTTAATTAATCAGTCAAATGAGCCCATAGAAAGGAGAGTTCTCAAAGTTAGAACATTCTTTATTGTATACAAGGTCTTCATTTTCCACAGGCAAACCAATTTCTCACTCACTTCGACTTTGGATGGTAGTAAAATGCAGTAATAATGGCCCAGACTAGTGTCATCATGACAGGACAGCCCCAACCAATGAACCGGTACATTCTGTAGTAAGAATTCTCTTGGAACACCGTCACTGTAACAGTGATTGAAAGGAGAAGTGTATACCTTAAGTTTTACCAAGGAATTTTTATTCAAACTGTGACCTTACAAGTTGGAAACTTTTGGAAACTGTTACAATTGCTTAGAGTTGATTCATTCCAGGTAACCTGCATTTCCTCCATAAATCTCTTTCTTTTAACATCTTAACAATGAAATGAGTACAGTAACATAAAAAAAAAAGTAAAAAATAAATAATGGTTCAGAGTTCCTTTTACTTGGATGTTTAAAGCATGGAGAGCTTCCAAAGAGGCAAAACGTGGGAAAATCAAACTTTTAATTGGCACTGAAGGCGGCTTAGGCCTACAGAAACCATTGGAAAGTTTGCTCTTCAGTCTCAGTGTTGGTTATACAAAGGGAAGCTCAAGGAACGAGCTTTACACAACTCACCAGTGACCATGTTGTGTAGGAACAGGCCCTCTATGAACATCCACATGAACATTGCAGTTTTCGCGTACTCTAAGAGGGTGTAGCTGGCCTCACACAGCACAGGCTGGAAGCAAAAGAAAGTTTCTAAAGTGGAGCTCTATTGTGAATTCTCTTGAACCATTGTGCACGGATTTGTATCCTCTTATCTGGGATTAAATCTACATTTATGCATTGCTCTTGAATTCTACAACATATTTTCATTGAATTCTTGAAGTTTGAAAATGAATGGCTTTAGAATATTTCTGAGAACCTGACAGAAGCAAGTGATTACTGGGACATTTTGTATATCCACTGAATAATGGTTCATTTTAGGAATATTAAAGTTGCAAGGTTGAACAACAAAGAAGAAGCTTATCTGACACAAAAGCACTCACAGTGTTGCCTATGCCTCTCTGGATACCATAAGTCTTCCTTCTCAGGATCTCAATGTCTATGTACACAGTTAATCTAATCAAAACCTGGACAACCATGGCGACAAACAGGTTCTTGTGTATCCTAGTTCTGGTATTCCTCAAGGACCTGAATCATTCACATAAATTCCATGAGAAATTTACTGGTAGTAATTTCAAGAATAAAGAGGGGGTCTCTTTCTCTTTATCTCTCTGTATCTTAAAATCTGTGACACTATTGGATTTTTCATTCAATTAATGATAAGTCGCGACAAAGGTTTAACCCAATTTTCGCGGCACAAACATATTTTCCATCTTTTAAAGTGAATCGTTCCTATCTATGAAGCCAGCAAAGATGGAAGAACGAAGAAATTAGTTGTACTTGGAGAAGAAACCATCGTACATGTTTCTGGTTATTATAAGGCATTTAAAAGTAGCACATATGTAATATTTTTATTTGTAGAAAATTTTGAATTTTTTAAATTTTTCACAGTAAATATTAAATGAAGTTTATTCTTCAAAATTATTGTCTTTCGAACGTTGGGTTAAAATTTTTAGGATTAAAAAGAGTTTTGGATTAGCAATTAGCTTACCTAAAACGGCAGAATATGGCAAGTGAAGCGAGCAGTGCTACTAAGGAGATACTTAAACCAACAAACTCCAGTGTACGGGTCTTTTCTGCTATGTCCATTTTCATCTGGAAATAAATATAATGTAAATATAAAAACACTTCTATTTATTCGGTCAGTATTTTTTTAATTAATGGTAAGTATTTTTTAAATTAAATAGTCAGTAAAATTGAATCTCTTGGTCAGTATGAATAGTTAATTGTCGATCGGTGTTAATTTGTTTTTTTGTCAATAAAATAGAAATTTTTGGTTAAGTTAGGTTAGATTAGGTTAGGTTAAGATATTTTATTATACACAATGACCATTTATTTACAATACTGATTAAAAATTTGTTTAAATACTGACCCAATAAATAGCAGCCATATAAAAATAAACATATTAAATGTATAAAATATAGAGAAATTTATGTATAATACATTTTATCATATATTCTATACTTTAGTCTACTATGTTGAAAAATGTATTAAAATATACAAGAAAATTCTATACACGCTATATTTAGAAACAATCTATTAAATTGATTCTAAGCCACTTTTTCATCAATAAGATGTTATATTCATGACACTCACGTTACCCTCGATGGTGTTCGTGTAAACTTTTCCATGCAGCCGTAGCATTTCTGGTGTGAGACATGTTGTGTAGTTTGCCCATCCATGCGGGGAATCCTCGTTGCTCGTGTCATTCTGGCCTTCCCAGCGGCCGTTGTAACCGCACTTCTTCTCCACAGATTCTAAACAAACATCATGGTCACTTTTATGTGTGTGCGTGTATGTATACTTTGCTCATGGTAGCAAGGCAAACTTAGAAGAGCCAAATGGATCAACCCAAGTTGGATTTACTCTGTTTGGCCAACAATTTGCTTGAACGTCTCGGCTAGGCGTAAATAAAGCTTTTAACTTGCGTAGCCAGGCTTGTTTGCGTATAATTTTCAAGGGATGCAGATCATTATGAATATTATCTGGAATATTGGAGTTTGTTGAACCAGGAAGAAATTTTGTCATTAGGGATATTTTGGGATTATTCTAAATTCAAAACTAGCTTAATTATTAAAATTTTAAGACAGGAAGTAAACAATACATAATCAAGAGGGTAATTTGGATGTTATAATAGTATTGAAGCGGTAATGAGATTTTCTGAATGGAAATTTTATCATTTACCATATCTTAGAATTATTAGACATATAAACTCAAAAGAGAAATTATGAAAATTTCTATTGAAAATATCTCAAACCTACTTCAGATTCGCATTCTAAGTCTAAACGAAGAACAAATTACACTCTATGCTAATTAAAAATGTAAAGTGATTCGTCGTATTGTCCTTCACCCCAATTTCAAGTCAGAAAGTGAAAACACACGGTTGAGGGAGCAATGCAAACGTCAGGGAAATTGGCTAGTCTCTTGAAATAGTTTCGACTTGGAAGGCAGCGATTACGAATAATATAACAGAACCTCTGAACTCTGTGTAAATAACTCAAGACCCTGATGAATGATATTGCGTTAGAGTTCAACTTGGAACGCTCGATTTTGCTCAATCTTCAATCTTATCGCTCTTTTAAGTCCCCCTTGCCTCTCAACAAACGTGGAATTTATTTTAGAAACGTTATTGAAATAATTGAAAAAAATATTCAACAATTTCTTTCGGAAAATATTTCATCGCCAATTTCAGCGTTACATTGCACTAAATTTCATTTCTTTTCGTTTTTATCAATTTGCTCGAGAAACTACATAAATATAATACGGAGAGGAAAATCTATATTCCATGAGAGATTACATTTCTCCCTGGAGCGAACTTCCTCAAACGATATTCGCTTCGTGTGTCGCACTTTTTTCAAGAGATTGAATTAAATTCAAAGAATAAACATGAAAGAGTTGTCTTCTTTAAAACTGTTCGACTCGTTTCTTCTTTTCAATTAGTAACACCGCAAACAATAAATAATAAGTAAATATCTTCTGATATGTTTTCGACAATTGAAAAGGACGAATTTTACGGAAATTAATGGCTTTTAACGAAGAGATTTCAATGACAAACAGCGACGAGCCGAATAGTTGTTGCCGAAAGAATTTCAACTTGAGGAAAAGTTATGAAAAAGACAGTAATAAAGAGCGACCACGAATGTTCCATGAAAGGGGAAGTTTCAAAGGGGAGCCTATCTATCTGCCTACTTAAAACCTTTCTTAAAGCCCACAAAATCGCGAGTTCTGCCATTCTCCGCTTTAAGATGCACCTTCAAAGCGTCTACGAGCCCAAGGACGCCCAGAAAAAGACAGTCATTGATCTGACTGAAAAAAAAAATTAGCTACTTCCAGTAACTTGTAACTGCTCTTCATCATCGATAGAATTTTATAAAAAGAAATTTCAACGTCACCGTATGTTCAATTTTTACATACTTTTTACCAGTACGTTAATTGGTACATTATATCTCTTAAAGTTTCTTCAGTTGTCCCAAGTTTACAGTTGAATAAAATATTGTCCGGAAATAAATTGCTACTTACAGCTCTAAATCTCCATTATTTTTGGAAGCAACCGATATAACGGAACTTTGGAAGCTCGTTGAAAAGTAATCATGTCGAACTTTTTCAAGCGTTTCAGATCAACGAAGTTACCGCAGAACGGCTTAATCGAACCTGACTGTCGCAATGATTTAGAAAACAAAAGAAGAAGATGAGAGTGAACATCCAGAGAATAGAGGAATTATCGGTGAAATTGATCCATTTGTCAGATTGTCAAACGATGAACTCTTCTTTCAACATTGGCAAATCTACTTTTCCTACCAATTACCGTTACCGCTTGCTTTCTACTGTCACTTTTTCATTTTCCACAAGGTAAACATTAACGTTCTAGTGTATCGAACAAGTTAAGCTCGCGAAGCATTTTATGGGATACAGAGAAATATCAACATTTGCAGGTAATTACCCGGTATTTTCAAGAAACGTCCCGACTAGAATTTCAGTTAGGCATGCCTAAAGACGATTGTGGGCCTAATGCGGAAACGATTAGGCACACCTAAATGCTGCAAGTCTAATCGTTACCGCATTAGGTCCTAATTCGGAAGGAATGATGCATGCCTAAGTTGGGCATTCCTAACAGTTGCCATACGTTGCCCAAATGGGGGTGGCCAAGCGCACGCTTAGGTTGGGCCTTCCTAACAGTTGCCATAGGTGGCCCAAAATGGGGGTGGA